AGAGAGAGAGAGAGAGAGAGAGAGAGAGAGAGAGAGAGAGAGAGAGACTCAGGTTTGGTTTTGTTAAGTTACTGGGATTGTATCAGGGCCTTTGCACTGAGTGAGCTACCTCCCCAGTCCTTCTTTCAATCTTTATTTTCAAATAGGATCTCACAAAGTTGCCAAGTTAGCCCAGGCTGCCCTGGAACTTCAGATCCCTGGCCTTCTCTTTCCTGAGTGGGCAGCTATGACATCTGGCTTTTTTTTTTTTTTTTTAAGCATGAGTTTCTTGGAAGGGAAAAAAAGCTTGAGTAACTTTTATTTTTATTTTTTTAATTTTTGAGACAGTATGTGTAGTTCAGGCTGGCTGAAAATTCATTGTGCTCTTGCCTCAGCCTCCCAAGGGCTGGAGTTACTCAAACCATTCCACCTGATTTGAGTGATTTTAAAATTACAACTTTTCCTTGTCTCCTTTCTACCTATCTTTATTCTTTCTATCCTACCTCAGTATCAGCAGGACTCCTGGGGCACAAGTGGAATTGTTTGAGATTAGAGATTGTTTTTGTATCTCTTAGGACCCTGCTTTTTATTGCTCCCAACTGTTGTCCAAACAAACACTTAACTCCTACCTGTGAGTTCCTGGATGGCCTCTTCAATAAGTTCCTTTTGCTTCAACTAACAAAGTCGTTGGCTGAAGCCTTTAACCAAGGCCTCTCCTCCTTGCTAGAACTGTACCTCTCTTTCACTCTTGGCTAGTGGAGAATGGGGGAATTGCTGGGAGGAGCAGCTCTAAACTGGCTTGCCTTGTGTTCTAGGTTTGCCTCACTGTCCCAGGCCTGTCTCAGTGACTGGCTAGGGTACCTAGACCATTATGCCATGAGATGATTTTACATGTGTCTTATTCTGGCTCACTGGGACAGCTCACATCAGCCAAGGCCAGATCCCCAGAGAATCAGTCACAAGGTAGGGATTAGCTGGTTCTATGACCCTCCTGTGACAAGCGGGCGGTAAATCCAATGGGAGCAGAGGTGAATGAATGAAGGCTGCTAGAATGTACCAGCTGTGCATGACCCGGCCCCTCAGGTCTTTTTTCCTTTTGTGTACATTTCCTTGCCTCCAGAAGATGGATAGGTGGAAAAACAAATCTTTGTCAGTAAAAGGCTATACCATACCCCAAAGTCACTCAGATCTCCTTTAGGAATGCTGGCCTCTAAGAGTCGGAAATTTGCTCCGGACACAGTGTAAGTATGTTTCTCAAGACAACCTGGAGATGGCGCTGTTCGCCTGTGGTCAGTTAGTGGTAACACCTCCTCGCGCCAACCCAAGCAAAAAGGCACGCTGTTTCGCACCTGGGATCTGCGTTAATTAAAGGTTAATTAGTGAAAACCAAGTGGATTTCAAGTGACCTCTAAAATGGTGCAGTGGAATATATATGAAAAAAGATTGAGCTTGGGATGTTGCCACGCGCCAGTAATCCCAGCACACGAGAGGTTGAGTCAGGAGAATTGAGACCGTCTCAAAATAAAATATAATAATAAAAAAGGGCTAAGATGTAGCTCAATGTGAAGACTTTGGATTCACTCCCCAGTACTGAAAAAAAATCAACTCCCATCCACACTTACCCTGTGCAGGGATTAAGGAGCAAACCGGAAATGAGTACTAAATGGACCTGTGGGACAGGTGTGCTAGGGAGGGTGCCTTTGCCTCGGGCCGTGATGAGAGCGCAGACTCCAAGCGGGCTGCGGAAACCTGGGCGTCCCGGGTGGGGAGGGCGGGGCTTTCCTGCACACGCAGGAAGACCACGTGTGAAAACAAAAGGGTGTGCAAAATCGGGTACACGTGCACAGCTACAAACAGGGAAGGCTCAGGGTTGGGCGACTGTAACTTTTCCACCTTCTCTCGTGCCCTGCCCGTCGAGGAGACCAACACTGTCACTAGCCGCCACAGTTTTCGACTAAAAAGGATTTTCAAGTGTGCCCATCAGACATTACTTTTTACAGGCAAAATACTCGGGGACTGCATAGAAATGACACGACCAGCGTACAGTTGCAGCCTCGGGCAACAAGTGGGTAGCGACGGCCAGCGGCGGGGGTTCTTTGCCTCAAGCCCTCGCGCGCGCAGGATCTGCAGAGCTCGGCTCCATGCACCGAGTCCAGTAATTTTCAAACGGACTACATTTCCCATGATGCCTCGTTCCCTGCTGCCCTCCCGCCGTCCGGCGGGGAGCTACCTTCCACCAATAGAAAAGTAGAGATTCTAGAGGACGTTCCTAACAGCCAATAAACGTAGCGGTGGGCTGGGTTCTCCCGTCCATTGTTCTCGCTGCCCCACGGGCTTGAGTTGAGGTGAATGTGGAGCTTTCCAGTGGATGTTCCAGGCTGTTTTGCTCGCTGGGCAGCCGCGGGGATAGGACGTGGTCCCGGGAGAGGTGAGCAGAGGGGCCAGCACAGAAATGCGCGCACCAGAGGAGCAGTCCGAGACGAAGGGGTAGCGGGCCTCGAGCCAGCTGGGGAGCCCTGCTGGGGGAGGGGCGTCGGGGGCCCAGTGGGCGGCCCAGACTCGGCGCCCAGCTCGTATCTGCGTGCCGGGCTCTGCTACCTGACTAGACCTACTCGCCCAGCCGCCAGGAGGGGCAGGGCCGCTCTGGGGAAGGATGGGCTTTCGACGACGCCTCGCGCGGCGTCTTCGTGGCTCAAATGGGGTTACAGAGGTGCGGAGGGGGGCGTGTCAGGTCCTGGTACGGGCTGTGAACTCGCTTCTTCCTGCCGTTTCCCCAGCCTGCCGGTGCTTTGGAGAAATGCACGTTGGGAGTTTTGGTTTTGTTTCTCATGTTGTCGTCGCAACTGCAGTCATCAATTTAAATCATGTGTAATTCCGCTAGTCTCAGTATAGTACTTTGTAGAGTCGTCCCCGTACGTGTTCATTTTAAAGGGAGCTAGGGTTTTACTGTGTATTGTGTTTTTAGTTTTGTTTATCCATTATTTTCATGCCGGAGGGTGATCTTAAATCAATGAGTAATATTGTCAGTATAATTTTTTAAGGGATTTTTAAAAAAAAAATTATTTATTTATGTGTGTGTGTGTGTGGCCAGCTCAGCCCGCCTGGGGGCGGGGCTGGCTGGCATGTCGTGCTGGGGGATCAAACCGCGGTCCCTGTGCTTTGCTAAGCTTGTCCCAAGTAGGTGCTTTAGACCACTGAACCATCTCACCAGCCCGTCAGTATAATTTATAGACTGTTGGCCCAAAATGTAGCCTTTCTAGTGGAGTGCTTGCCTAGGGTGTTCAGTGCGCTGAATTAGGTTCCCAGTACAGCAAAGAATAAAAATAGATATTTTTTAAAATAGTAAAACAGTATGCACCTATCTGTAATTTCACCAGTATATTTTTGTGCATATGCAGAACCTTTCCCACACTCCTGCAGGTCCCAGACACTACTCCCTAAAGGTAGCTGTTATTACTTTAGGATACTTTTCAATAATTCCATCAAATGCTCAATGATTTATTAATTATTTTCTTGCTGTTCCACCGTGTTGGGATTCGAACCAGGGTCTTGAACGTGCTAGGCAAGTAAACTATATCCTAGCTTTGCTACTAGATTTTTTTTTATGTTTGACATAAACGATTTTTTTCATAAACAATTTTTTCCATAATTTTATTGATAAACAAATAGCAGTGAGACAGTTTCAAATCAAATTGGTAGGACAGTTTCAATAATAACACATTGCATACGCTACTAGATTTTTAACTTTTTTTTTGTATTTAGTACAGTGTCTGGAGGGTCTCACTACGTACATCGGACTCATAGTGATTCTCCTGTTTTCAGCCTCCCAAGTGCTGGGATTACAGGTGTGTGCCACCACACCGTCTCAGTTGCCTCTCAGCACGCCCTAGGGGTTGGGGCCAGCATGACATAGGAGGGATCAACCCTGCTGCTGTGCTCTGCCTAAGCAGGCACTTCCGTACGCTGAGCTAGGCCAACTCAAGATAGCCTCTTGCATTTCCCAGCAGTGTGATTGATAGTTGTATATGCCTTAAAAATAAAGTGCTATACAAAGATGTTTATTTTTAAAGATAAATTCTTGAGAGGCAACTGGGTTTAGTAACGTAAGCCTATAATTCTAGCACTCTAGGAGGCTGAGGCAGGAGGATTGCAAGTTCAAATCCAGCCTAGGCAATTTATCAAAACCCAGTCTCAAATTTTTAAAAAAAAAGTTTTTTAAATTAGAAAGAAGAGCTGGGATGTAGCTTACTGTGATAACTGCAGTTTTAGTTACCAATCACACACGAGAAATTCTGAGTGGCCAAGGGCAGATAAGAGACTATAAGCATGTCAGAAGCTTTATACAGTTAGCTCTTGATATTCTCAGGCTTGAAAAAAGTTTTAAATTGTATCTATTATAGACATGAAGACTTTTTTCCCTATCACTTTCTTGTTTATTCCCTAAATACGACAGTATAGCTATCTGCATAGTAGTGACAGTGTTCTGGGTATTCTGTATAATCTAGAAATGACCTAAAGTACATGGAGCCAGGTGTGGTGCACACCTCTAAACCCAGCACTCCGAAGCTGAGGCAGGAGGATCACTGTGAGTTCAAGGCCACACTGGACTGCACAGTAAGTTTAAGGCAAACTTGAGCTACATGGGAAGACCCTGTCTCAAAAAAATAAAAAAATAAAACAAAAAAATAAGATAATGTAAGGGCTGGCCAAATAGCTCAGGAGATTAAAGTGCCTGCAAGCAGGCACAGGGGCCAGAGGTTCGATCCCTGGTGTGCTGTGACAGCCCCATCCCCAGTTCACACTGAGACGCAGTTGAAACTGGGCATGGTGGCGCACACCTATAATCCCAGCTCTTGGGAGGCTGTAAACAGGCGGATCACTATGAGTCTGATCTAGTAGTGAGACCCTGAACACACTGTAGACCCTTCCCTAAAATACAAAAAAAAAGATAATGTGCAGTAGTCCCTCGCTATTTTGTGGTTCATCTTTCATGGACTCATTGTTTCACAGGTTTTCAAAAATTATTGATTTAAATTAATAATTACAAGGGCAGGTGAGATAACTTAGCAGACTAAGCGCCTGCTTAGGCAAGCACAGAGACAAGGGTTCAATCTTCTGCACCACCACGCCAGCCCTGCCAGCCAGTTCTGCCCTCAAGCATGCTGAGCTAGCCACCAAGACCAGGCGTGGTGGTGCATGCCTGTTCTCCCAGCACTGGAGAAGTTGATACTTTTTTTTTTTTTTTTTTGTGGAACTGGGGATTGAACTCAGACCCTTGCGCTTGCCAGAGAAGCACTTATCCTACTGAGCCATCTCCCTGCCAAGAAGTTGAAAACAGGAGGAGGATCACTATGAGTCCAAGCTGCATAGTGAGGCCCTGTACCATGTACATTAAAAAAAAAAAAAAAATTACAGATTTTTGCTATATTGCAGGTTTTACAGTACTGTACAATATACGTATGTTGTTAAAATTACCAAAGTTTACGAGTTTAGAAAATGGTTAAGAACATTAGAAGTGTTTTTTAAGAGTCTGGAAAAGGTTTATAAGAGTGTGGGAAGTGTTTATAAAGTCTTAAAGTATATATAAATACTAAAATAAATATAATGTCACTGCTTTGCTG